CGGCCATGTGGGAGCTGGGAACCAAATCTGAGTCTCCTGCAAGAGCAGTCAGTGCTCTTAACTCCTGACCCATCTCTCAAGCCCCCTTTTTTTTCTTTTTTCTGGTCTTTTTGAGACAGGGTCTCCCTGTAGCCCCAGCTGTCCTGGAACGCACTATGTAGACCAGGGTAGCCTTGAACTCACAGACATCCGCCTGTCTCTGCCTCCCAAGTGCTGGGATTAAAGGCGTGTGCCCCAAAGCCCAGCTCCAACTTTCTTTTTTGCAGAAAGAGCCTAGGCAAGCCTCAAACTCATGATCTTCCTGCCTCAGCCTCCACAAATAGTGAGATTACAGGTGTTGTGCCCTACTATGGTTTAATGTTCTATTTTCTTTTCTTTTTGAAAAGGTTATTTTATATTTATTTTATTTATTTTTATGTGCACGAGTGTTTTATCTGCATGTATGTGCACCACATACATGCAGTGCCCATGGAGGCCAGAAGAGGGCATCAGATCCCCTGGAACAGGAGTTAGACATAGTTGTTAGCTGCCCTAAGTGTTGAGAATTGTACCGAAGTCCTCTGCAAAAGCAGCCAGCGCTCTTAACCAATGAGTCATCTCTCCAGCCCTTTTTTTTTTTTGAAACGGGGTGTCATGTATCCCAGGCTGCCTCAAATGCCCCCCTATACAACTAAAGATGACCCTGAACTCCTGATCCTCCTGCTTCCACTTCCCAAGTGCTAGGATCACAGGTATGTAATACTACACCTGGTTAGAGAAACCTTAATGATGAAATTTTTTCAGTGCTAGGGATGGAATCCAGGGCTTTGGGTATAGTAAACAAAGTCTACCACTAAGCTATGCCCTCAGTTCAATATGTGGAAAAAAAGTTTTTTTTTCTTCTAAGGCTACCTCAATACCTGAGTTTGTGAACAAAATGGTTTTCAATGGTGCCTGGTTTCTCTGATCTATCAGAATGCCAAAACAAATATATTTACTGAATGACTACATTTTATGGTAATATAATAAAAAAAGATTTAACAATTTATTTGGCTTTTTAAAGGACATAATAGATCAATCAAGTGTGCAAAACAAGACCGTATTTAAGAACAACCTTTTACTCAGCTAGAACAAGCTACTCATAATGAACAGTGGCTGTGTGGAGCCAGAACCTATGAACTGCTCCCCTCAAAAATGGGAGGCTGGAGAGATGACTCAGCCAGTAAAGCATGTGCCTTACAAGCATGTGGACCGGAATTCAGAGTCCTCAGAATGCTTACAAGCACAGGGACCTGAATTCAGATCCTAAGTAAATGCAAGTAGAAAGCTGAGTCTGGTGGTAGACACAATACCAGCAATGGTGAAATGGGAGGCAGAAACTGGTGAATCCCTGAAATTCAATGGCCGGCTATCCTATCCTATCTGGCAAAGTTCCAGGCCAATGAGAGAAACTTATCTCAAACAAAAGTTGGAAGACAGCTGAGTAAGGATGCCCACAGTTGTCCTCTAACCTCCACATGCACAGACACATATGTACACATACACACACAAAGAAAAATGGCCTGCTATCTCATATTATAAAGTCTTACCCTCACAGGTAGTAAAGAAAGGGTACTTTTAACTAAGAACTTTAGCATATCTGAGGAAAACTCAGTATGAAATAAATTCACTCTAATTCATATTTACTACTGGGAAAACATAGCAGAAAGAATTTCTTAGATTTCATTCCTAGACTAAAAGCAGAGGAACAAATAGTAAAAGCTTTAAAAAGCCCAATCAAAGATCAGGTATGGAGCTGAGTATAGTGGCATGTACCTGTAATCCCAGCACTTGGGAAGCAGAAGCAGGTAGATTAACAATTCAAGGCTAGCCTCTGCTACATAACAAGTCTGAGACTACCTTGGGGTACATGACACCTTATCTTTAAAAAAAAAAAAAACACGGTGGTACAGGCTCGTAATTCCAGCACTGGCGAGGCTAAAGCAGGAGGACCTAGAGCTTAAGGCAAATCTGGCTACATAGCAAGACTCTGTCTCAACAAAATAAAGTATGACTGAAACTGGGCATGGTGCACCATGACTATCACCCTTCGCACTTGAAAGGTGAAGGAAGGAGATCATAAGTACAAGGTTATCTTCAAGTATATCATAAGCTTGTGGCCAGTCTGGGTTGTAAGAGATCCTATCTCAAAAATGCAAACAAAAACATAAAATCAAATTGAGCATGGTGGCATGCATGTGTAACCTCAGCTACTTGTGAGGCAGGAGAATGACTTGAGGCTAGAAGTTCAAGACCAGCTTGAACAACATAGCAAGAACTCCACTCTAAGAAGTATCAGCTGGGTGTGGTGGCATATGCCTTTAGTCCCAGCACTCAGGAGGCAGAGGCAAGCAGATCTCTGTGAGTTTGAGATCAGCCTGGTCTACATAGCAAGTTCTAGGCCAGCCAGGGCTAGAGGGAGACAGAAAAAAAAAAAAAGAAGAAGAAGTATGTACATGGGGCTGGAGAGATGACTCAACAGTTAAGAGCACTGGCTGCTCTTCCAGACGACCTGGGTTTGGTTCCCAGTGCACAGATGACAGCTAACAACCATCTATAACTCCAGTTCCAGGGGACCTAATGCCCTCTTCTGATCTCTGAGGGCAATGCATGACATGAGTGCACTACATACATGCAGGCAGAACACTCGTACACTTAAAATAAAAACAAATTAAAAAGAAATATATATAATTAAAGTACAATCATACTAAAATTAATTCTCTGGCCTTAGAAGCTGCTAAGCAGTATATAGTTCTAGATTTCTAAGTCAAAAGCACAAGGATTTATAATGGTTAATTAGCATTTGAAGTCGACAGCCAAGGCAAATAGGCCGGCCTTTTCTGTGATTATGATTACAAGGTAAGGAGGCTTTGGGAAAATGATCCAATTCACAGAAATGGGTAAATGAATCTGGACCTGTAATCCCAGCACTTGGAAGGCAGAGATGGGGCAATTGCAAATTCAAGGTCTGTGGTACATGAGACTGTCTCAAAAAAATACATTTTTTAAAACTTGAAGAAATGGGAACTGATATTATCTACACCATCAAGACATTATTAGCTTTCTAATAAGACTATTTTATACTCTAAGGAGAGGCGCTAAATTATTGAAAACTGTGAGCAGTATAACAATTCCTGCCCATACCAATGCAAACAAATCTTGTCTGGTTGGATATGAGTCACTATAATTCATGTTCTCATTTTTATTTTTTTGAGACAGGGTATCACATAGCTCACATTGGTCTCAAACTCAATTTAGCCCAGGAAGATCCTGAACTCTTCATCCTCCTGACTCCTACTATCCAGTACCAGGATTACAAGTGTAATCACATGTGGCTTTTATATCCTCATTTTTATATCTGAGTGTTTCCTTGAGTAATCAATTAATTTAATAAATCCTTTACACATGGTTTATTTGTTTGGTTTATTCATTCTGTGGTGCTGGGGATTAAACCCAGGACCTTCTGCATGTTGAATATGTAACCTACCACTGAGCCCCCATACTCCTTTTTATTTGTATGAGAGTCAGTCTATAAAAATTATACTTTAAGCTGTACATACCTTTAATCCCAGAGGCAGGAAGATTTCTGTGAGGAGAGGCTAGCCTGTTCTACATAGTGAGTTCCAGGACAGCTGGGGCAATAAAAAGACCCTGTCTCAAAAAGAACCCCCACCAAAAAAAAGAAAAAGAAAAAGAAAAGGGAAAAAGTATACTTTAATATGTCATTAAAACAGCATTGCCAGGCGTGGTAGCTCATATCTTTAGTCCCAGCACTCAGAAGGCAGAGGCAGGCACCTCTGTGAGTTCAAGGCCAGCCTGGTCTACATAGGAGTTCCAGGACAGCTGGGGTTACAGGGAGACCCTGTCTCAAAAAGACCAAAACAACAACAAACCGCCCCCCCCCAAAAAAACAAAACTAGAATCAAGGGGCTGGCAAGATGGCTCAGTGGTTAAGAGCACTGGCTACTCTTCCAACACCCAAATGGTGGCTAACAACGCCAGTTTCCGGGGATCCAATGCCCTCTTCTGACATCCTTGGGCAATGCACATGGGTGCACTTATACACATGCAGGTAATACATTCATATACATAAAATAAAAATAAAATAATAATAATAAAAAACAGCATCAAATCCAGGCATGGTGGTACAAACCTATAATCTCAGCATTTCAGAGGCTGAAGCAGGAGGACCTCAACAAATTCAAGGCAAACCTGGGCTACATAGTGAATACCAGGCCATCCAACAACCAAAAAAATAATAAATACATATAATAAAAGTCTTCCCTATTTGGGTTATACAGTAATTTGGATATTTATAGCTAAATGAATATATCTAACGTGCTATAGGTTTTTAATCTATATGTATGAAGGTAACTAAATTATCTTTCTTTTTTCTGAGAGCTTTGTAGCTTGTGTCATGGTGTGTGCCTATAACCCCAACACTCAGGAGACTAAGGCAGAATTATGTATCAGAGGCCAGTATAGAATACCTAGCAAGACCTTATCTCAAAACAAAACAAAAACATTACTAAAGTGTTCAAAGTTAGAGGCCAAAGCACAAGAAACTGAAAACATAGCAGGCTCAGTTTGTCCAGTGGCTGCTCATTAACATGCATATAGGCAACAGTTGACAGCATATCTTATGTTCAGTTCAGAATGCTGATACCAAAATCTTACCTGTCTATAGTATTTTTCATACACAGGATTCCCACTTGACAACTAAAATAAACAATAAATAGTAATTATATTTTATTCAATAAATCTTTGATATATTTGGCATTCATTCAAAAGATATTTTGAGAAACAAAAACAAGTAAGATAAAATATTCATTTCAGGAAAATTGGTTTTGTTTCTTCTTTAGGGAACAAGAATAAACACAGTCACAAGAATTACAAAGAATCAGAAAAACAAGAATCAAATTTATTTTTGATAAGAGAACTTGTTTCATGTATAACTCCACCCAGAAACCCAATATGTCACATAGAAGAAAGCCAGTTGAAAGCTCTCTTTAAAGCTCTCACTCTCTACCCAAGTACCCAAGGTACTTCAATAAAGTAATCAATGAGGGGCTAGGGGTGTAGCTCAGTAGGAAAGCCTTTCCTAGCATGCAAAAGGGTGTAACTGTGATCACAGCACTGAAACAAACAAATATATAAAAAAAATGGTGTACTGGTTATGATCTGACGTCATCAGATCCGAATTGCTTACATGCAGGCAGTACCATTCATTTCACACCCCAATTCAAAGAGTTCCTTGTTCGGCTAATGAACACAATAGCTCATCTGAAAGGCAGCATGAGTATCAATGTACGAAGTCTCAGGTCTGCCTATACACAAGTATGGAAGAACGTGCTAGACAAGGAAGGCTTCAAGGAGTGACTGTAAAGCAGGTGCTTAAAAGTATGAAAGGTGATGAGGGGTGATTTCACACAGAGATAGTATGTACAAAGGCTCAGCTGCATCTGGAAAGAATAACAACTAGCAGCTTAGAAATGGTGATGCATACATGTAATACCAGCTCTCAGAAGGCAGGAGTATCATGAGTTTGAAGTCAGCCTGAGGAAGGCTTCAAGGAGTGACTGTAAAGCAGGTGCTTAAAAGTATGAAAGGTGATGAGGGGTGATTTCACACAGAGATAGTATGTACAAAGGCTCAGCTGCATCTGGAAAGAATAACAACTAGCAGCTTAGAAATGGTGATGCATACATGTAATACCAGCTCTCAGAAGGCAGGAGTATCATGAGTTTGAAGTCAGCCTGAGCTATATAGCAAGACCATGTCTCAAACACACACACACACACACACACACACACACCACACAAAAACACAAACACAAACACACACACACAGACAGAGAGAGAGAGAGAGAGAGAGGAGAGAGAGAACACGAACAGTAAGAAGTTACCTACTCCAAGCACCATAGTGCTTCCTAATATGCTCTTATTTTGCCCAGGACCATCTTGATTCACAATCTGTTGTCCTAGTAGCTCATCCAGGTTACTATTTGTGTCAGATTCCTAATTTTTAAAAATGAATTATTATTAGTCAGGCGGGTGGTATATGCCTTTAATCCCAGCACTCACGAAGCAGAGGCAGGCAGATCTCTGTGAGTTCAAGGCTGGCTTGGTCTACACAGTGAGTTTCAGGCTAGCTAGGGCTACAGGGAGACCCTGTCTCAAAAAGACCAAAAATAAAAAAGAAAAATTAAAAAAGAATTTTTTAAATTAAAAATCAGAATTGCTTAGTATACTTTGTGTGTGTGTGTATGTCTCTCTCTCTCTCTCTCTTCTGGCCAAAGTAACAGCTAGTATGGAATAAGTGGGTTTTTTAAAAATATTTATTATTTTCATTTTATGTGTATGCGTGGATTGTCTGTATGTAGGTAAGTGCACCCGCGTTGTGTAATGCCCCCAGAAGACAGAAGAGGCTGTCGGATCCCCTGGAACTGGAGTTACGGACAGTTGTTAGCTGCCATGTGGGTGCTGGGATTCGAACCCGGGTCTTCTCCAAGAACAACCAGTGTTCTTAACCACTGAGCCATCTCTCCAGTCCCCCCCTCCAAAAAAAACTATGTTTAACACAAAACTAAGCACTAAATTTTCATTTCTCCGGAAAATGGATGGGCAGATAACTTGCATGAAACCTTCAAGGTTACTTGTCACAGGAGTTTCAGTGACATCAGTTAATGAGCTAGTTGCAAATGTCAAAATTTACAGATGCTTTCATATAAACAGTTAAAATGTTAAAGATAATGGGACTGGAGAAATGGCTCAGGGGATAAGAACACTGACTGTTCCTGCAGAAGACCAGGTTTTGAATCCCAGCACCCACATGGCAGCTAACAACTGCCGTCTGTAACTCCAGTTCCAGGGGATCCGACACTCTCTTCTGTCTTCTGCGGACATTGCATGACACAGGTGCACTTACCGACATGCAGGCAATAAAATAAAATAAAAATAATAATAATTAAAAAAAGAAATGCATAAAATGTTAAGGATAAAGCCAGTGTTGAACACAATAGAGTATACTAGCACATGGCGATATGACAAGCTCATCATTTTGAAAGCTGGAATCTTAAAAAACAAAACGAAACAAAAAACTCTGCCCTATACATTCAACTTAAGTGTCTTAGTAGTATATCTTTTAAAAACAAGACCGCCACAATTTGGCTGCATACTGACCAAAACTAGTTGGAAATCCTTAATCAAAGATCAAAGTTCAGTGAAAAAGACATGAATGAGACTCAATCTCAAAAAAAAAAAAAAAAAAAAAAAAAAAGTGGGCTGGGAGAGGCTCCCAGTAAGAGCCTTGATGTGCAAGCATGAGGACCTCGATTCAAATTCCCAGCACCCACATCAAAGCCAGAACAACCGTATGTGCATTAACCCCAGCACTGGGGGGTGGAAAAAGTAGACTGTGGAGCTTGCTGGCCAGCCAGCTAGTGGAAACGGTGAGCTTCTGATTCATCGAGAAACCCTGTATCAAGGAAAAGGTAGAGAGCAGCAGAGAGACACCAGACATCCTCCTCTGGCCTCTGCACGCACACACCACATATCCAAAACACACACACACACACACACCCCACATATCCAAAACACACACACCACATATCCAAAATACACACACACACACACACACACACACACACACACACACATACATGTTCAATAAAAAAGTTCCAGTTGCCAGGCATGGTGGTACACGCCTTTAATCCCAGCAGAGGCAGAGGAAGACAGAGCTCTGAGTTCCAGGCCAGCTGGGGTTACAGGGAGACCCTGTCTCAAAAAGACCAAAAAAAAGAAAAGTTCCAAAAGAACCTTAAGTTTCTGAAACTTAGCAAATAGCAAATTTTATTAATAAAGTTTGCTGAGACATTGAATGCAAACTTCAAAGCAAGGGAAGAACTGAACAAATTAAATGGAGATAAAACAGAACAAAAGATTTAATTTTGGAATTCCCTATTTTTCCTTGGAGTCAATTGTAAGAATTCCACCTAGAGTCTTCTATTTTATAACTGGATAAGTTTCTATTTTGAACTAGGAAGAAAGAAATTTACCAATTGTATATAATTTTACAGCATCTAAATTGCTGTAACATATAAAATAATCCTAAATACAGCAGGCATGGTAATTCACACTTAAAATCCCAGCACCTGGGAGGGGCAAAGGGCACAGAAGCGGCACCTCTCTCACCATTTTCTGTGGCTGTCGGGAGGTCACACAGGTTCTGTATTTGAGTGTGGACTTTATGGAGTAGCTGTAAATGTGGGGCACCCACTCTTCTGTAAATAAACATTTACCCTATGCTCAGTTAAAATAATAATAATAGGGCCGGGCATGGTGGCGCATGCCTTTAATCCCAGCACTTGGGAGGCAGAGGCAGGTGGATCTTTGTGAGATCGAGGCCAACCTGGTCTACATAGAGAGTTCCAGGCTACCTGGGGCTACAAGGAGACACTGTCTCAAAAAAAGACAACAACAACAACAAAATAATATAATAATAAAATATTTTTTAAAAAGAACCCCATAATGCATGTAAAAAGCTTGATATGGTGGTATGTATCTGTAACCCCAGTGCTGGGAGGCAGGGGTGGAGAGAGGTGGATTCCAGGGCTTGCTAGTCAGCCAGTCTAGCCTAAATGGCAAACTCCAGGTTGAGTGAGAGGCAGACTCCTATTCAAAAAAAATGATAGAAGAGAGTGAAAAGTAAATTCCTGGACTGCACACATGCTTACACAGATGAGCACACTCCCATATGTGTACATCCACCACACACAAACACACTAAATTAAAAAGAAAATCCAGTGTGTTCACATGCTGCTTTTATGGATTTATTGATATTTTATTTTTATCTAATATAAAACTGTTCTTTTGAAGAAAGTATCTATTTTCTTTCAAAAGAAAAAAAAAATGCCAGCACCTGGGAGGCTGAAGCAGGAAGACTTTGGTGAGTTCATGGCCAACCTGAACTACACAGTAACATCCTGGCCAGCCTAGGCTACAGAGTGAGACCCCACAAAAATTTTTAAGAAAAAAGAATGAAGCCAAACATGGTGGTGCACACCTTTAGTCCCAGCACTCGGGAGGCAGAGGCAGGCAGATCTCTGTGAGTTCAAGGCCAGCCTGGTCTACATAGTGAGTTCCGGGACAGCTGGGGCTGCAGGGAGACCCTGTCTCAAAAAGATTAAAAAAAAGAAAAAAAGAAAGAAAGAAAATGAAATCTAAATGGAGCTATTTTATTCACCTACCAATACGACAAAAACAGTATTAATGATCAAAATACTGAGTGCTGGGATTAAAGGCATACGCCACCATGCCCAGCTTGTTATTTTTATTTTATGTCTATGAGTGTATTGCTTGCATGAGTGCACCCATGTTGTGCAATGCCTACAGAGGTCAGAAGAGGGCACTGGATCTCCTGGAAATGGCATTAAGAACAGTTATTAGCCACCATGTGGGTGTTGGCAACTGAACCTAAATCCTCTGCAAGAACAACCAGTGCTCTTAAACCACTGAGCCATCTCTCCAGCCCCACATATGAATTTTTTAGCAATTAAATTTTTTCTTAATATTTTATTTATTATTTTTATCTTATGAGTGTATTGCCTGCATGTATATAAGCGCACCTGTGTTGTGCCTTGCCCGCGGAAGTCAGAAGAGGGTGGTGGATCCCCTGGAACTGGAGTTGTTAGCTACCATGTGGGTGCTGGGAACTGAACC